CTCTCTCTCTCTCTCCCTCTCTCTCCCTCTGGAGAATCACATGGGAACAGGACCTCAGAACTAGATGACTTAGTTCAGCCCTGGTGTCCAGTAATGCAATACTTCTAACTGAAATGCCTCTTGTCTCATTTGAAGGCAAGAGACATTGCTCCCAAACAAATAAATCCTCATAAATAATGAAACAGTCACAGTAAATGTGACAGTAACAGCGCAGAGAACCACCCATTTGGCGCGGCCATGGGTATGCACTCATTGTCACAACCATCTAACGGATGCTGGAACTAATCCATCAACGGAGGCATTAGCCTCAACACTCAGCCTGATGCATGATATTACATTACTCTGCCAAGAGAAGGCTAGTTCAGGGGGAGCCATTGCTCCCTGTTGGCCCTTCCTCACACTCTCCAATCACACTACTACAAAGAAATCCAGCACCTCTGGGCCCATACAGCCAGACAGTGATAAAGGAGCACAGGCAGCAGCATACCTGAGGGCAGGGAAACCTGGCCAGCACTTCACAGACTCACATGAATTTTTGATGCCCTCTAAAACTGGCCTTTCTGCTTTACCTGCCAGTCCAAGATGTGTGCAATTGTGTGTCTGTGCGTATGTAGGCCTTCTGTATGTGTGGTACCGGAGAGAGGGAGAGCCCATCATGGAAAAAAAGCCCCTGACCCAAAAACGTTTCTGCTGCCTTTCTAGGTCAGAGGCCTGGCAAGCTGGAAAATGACTGCAGAAAACAAGTGGTACCATGATGACCTGTGCACACACTCACAAACACACACCCAGACACACAACGTGGTTTTGATCTTTTCTTTTGTTTCGTGCAGTCGAGTTTCGAGCTAATGTGCCTGAAGTCTGTGCCAGCTCCCTAATAAGAGCAAAACAAAACAAGAGGAGGAATGAGACGGTGGCAGGTTGGGAGGTGAGATCCAACTTCAAAGTTCCCTGGCAGCCATCAGACGTTTCAGCTTTTAGAGAGCGTGGTATGTTTTTTTAAAGCTATCAACGTGGTTTTAACTCACAGCATCACAGTTCTCAGGATCCACTCCAGACAGGGAGCATACGCACAGAACCACATAAAAACTTAATAAGTATCACTTAGTATCACTTTGGTCTCTCTGGTTACCACCAAGCCAACTTGTTCTGTGTTGTGAAAAAACATACATAGCCTACTGTAAGATTTATGTAAGAGAGGTTTATGTTTCTTTTTCATCTCTACTTTAATTACCATTAGCATTTTTATGTTTCCTTGACCTGCATGCCTGATTTCTTTTTCCTTCTCTGCAGAGCGCACCGTGAGTCATACTCCCCGAGGTTGTGAATGCACTGCAAAGTTAGACATATGGCACACTCTAAAGTCCGCTGTACTTCAATAAATCAAACCTGAATGCATCGTTATGGAGGGTGCCTAATCACCTCCATGGGTACGGGCGCATGTGTTATTCACTGTAGAGGATATCCTCCGCGACAGAGTGACTCATCATGCTACAGAGGGATTGGGCCATTGCTCCCTGACTTTATTGGACATCTCATTGCCCTTTTGGTTCGATTTTATAGGAAAACATTCCTCTTTCGTGTTTTATATACAGGGTTATGGTAGAATGTGGGCAGCATTTTTACATGCTGATCTACCTAAGGGGGTGGAAAGTTTGATGCTGCCTTATAAACCCACCATGTGATAGCAAACTCCTTCGCTGATCATTGTGTCCGTGGCAGAATAAGATGTATGAAGTTTATTTTCACCTTTTTGGCGCAGAAAAAGACAGCAGAAAGAAGAACATCACAATTTCTTTTCCACTGGGAGTGCTATAATTAGCAACTAAAAATCTGACTCATCGCTCAAGCCAAAATTCTGAACCATGTCAGTCTATTCAACAAATCCCAAATGTGGAGAGATACATGCTCAGAATCGTTGGCAACCCTCATCTACAGAGTGGCACTCTCAATAAAAGGGAATAGTCTTTCAAAAACAAATTTGTCATCTTATCACCTTCCTGAACTTGGTGTATTTTGTTCTTGGCAACTTCAGATAACGAGAACAGGTTCTGTCGAAATCATCTGTGAAATAACTTCCCAAACAGCACAACCCAAACTGAGCAAAACCATTCAGAAGATCTAGAGTCATATTTTTACTGGTATTTAGCTCAAGATTTCATCCATCCCTTCAAGAAAAGTATAACAAAAACCCCTCACATGCTCTTTCTTTGCCTGGAATGGATCTACATTCTACATACGTTTATTTTACATGTGGAATCATCACCCAGTTTCAGTCCAGAAGGACACCTACGTTCATCACACTATGTCTCATCATTACATGTTAAAAGGGGTCTGTTGGTCGTTTTTCCTTGCTCCAGTTGAGGGTTAAAGACATATTGTTAAGCCCTGTGAGGCTAATTGTGATTTGTGAATAAGGAACCTACACTAATACAATTTGATTGAATTGACTGATTGATTGATAAATTTACATTAAAATACTAACCGACAAAAGTTAACCTTTAAAATAGTTTTCTAACATGAAAATCTGTTATATCATTATTATGTAACTTTTGCTGAACAGGAGCCACTGGAGCTTTGCAAAATAAAACTATATTTTAGCATTTACCTAGGCTGCTGAAGGGGTTCATGAAGTTGATCAGCATCCATAAATCTCAATAATTACCTAATGTATAAAAAAAAACACAAACTGGCATCAACATCACAGACCAAGTGAAGCTGTAGCTGTGTGGGCATTAAATTCAGAAACACTGTTTTCTTAATTAATTTAAATTGTGGAGGAGAAATTAATAAGATGTCTTATTTTAAATGTAGATATCTGGCTCTATGTTACTGTTAAGGGGTACAAGCAATTTGAAACAGGCTCTTTATGTTTGTGAAATAAAACATACACTTAGCATCAGGTTCACACAGAAAATATTAAGTTATAAATGTGTATAAATTCAATTTTGAAGGGAAAATAATAATATTCATGTAAATTGTACTCCACAAACTCTGGGGGCATTTCATGGTCAATGTTGAGTGTTTTTAAATGATTATGAAGGTACGCTGCATGAAAAAATTTAATTCTGTCAAACAACACAATGTTTTTGTAACCTTTCTTTAATCTCTGCTAATCTTTGTTTCTGTTGATGTTGTTATTTTTACATAGCCTACAGTGTGGTTTAAAAAGGCTGGGTAGGCAGACAGAGAGCTGCACCAGCCAATTTCATCCAGGGTAAATGTTAAACACAATTTATTTTGGGAATTAGACTCTGGTTTAATCACTGCCTGGGAGTGGATTTTTTTAATCACCCAAAGCAAAGAGCAGGGAGAGATCAATACACCATTTCACTGGAATTACAAAACAACCTGAGTCCAAAGTTCACTTCAAGTGAATGATTTGATATGGGCAAAATTTTTTGGTAAATTATTTCTTTAGAGATCATGGTTAAGGTAATGTTGAACAAGATTCCCATGATATACTGTGCTGCTTATGCTGAAAACACTAAATCAATAGCACATGAGGATCATCCATTAATTTATCTTGACCGCTTATCGTTTTGAGAGTTGTGGTGGGGCTGGAGTAAATGGAATACATCCTGAAGTCATCGGATATCACAGGGAATCACAGGGCTGACATTGAGAGAACCGTTCACACTTAATGGTCAATTTAAAAGCTCCAATTTGTCTCACCCCAATCTGCATGTCTTCAACTGTAAGAGGAAGCTGCTATCCCCAGAGAAAACTCACACAGACGTGGAGAACATACAAAAGGCCCCAGCCAAAACACGACCCCAGTTGCTGTAAGGCAACAGTGCTGCCCCACATGAAGATCAAACATATTTATATTTAATTCACTCAGGTATTATTGCTTGAAGCAGTTTTCCATTCTGTTTACAATTTCTCATATGTTTTTGACACGTATTATACTTTTTATTTAAATGTGACATATCTAAATAAAAGGGAAGACACTGACCTGTTGTGCTGAAATCTTATTTTCCCCCCGTTTGCCCAACAAAGATGTTGACACCCTGTAATGAGAGACAGCGGTTACATTTAAGATGTGAAACAGCTTCAGCAGACCAAACTACATTTAGATTAAAATGTCAGCTGTCACAAGCTCTCATAAGTTGTGAAGTATGCCATGGTGAGGTTTTTCTCCACATCCAACACACTGAACTTTATTAATTAGCGGCAGTAAAACCAACTAAAGGTCTTGACATACAAGTCATTTTGAGTCTGATTGGTTCCTGCTAACTGGAACGTATTTTGGGTGTTAGCGTGCCACAGGATCCCTGAGAACTTTCCAGATCCATTCATTAAAATGATCAAAGTATATGGGAATTCTGTTGACATTGTGAAAATATCTTTCGAAGACATTTCTCTTGTGTTGATCTTTCCTAGAAGTGTAAAAAAAATTGCCTTGGTCAAGGTATAGGCAAGAGGGTCTCCAGAATGTTTTCCATCTTGTAGCAGGGTCTTGGCTGAGAGAAAATAGTGAACCTCTGTCTAATCAGGGATGTACTTTTCTTACTGTGCATGGATACATTGAATAAAA